TGTACCTAAGAAACAGAATAATAACATGTAAAGAGCAGACAATTTTCTATAACTATAATAATTTTTCTGGTTTTCTAACTATGTAATAAGTGCCATTAAAAATTTAGCTAGGCTCCTCAATGTGTTTCTCGTGGGAATAAAGTTTGAACTGGAAGCAAAATAGACAATTCTCTATTTAGAAAACAACGTAATATAATACTTCATTTGATAAATTAAAACTTTGGCTTTCTATTGGTCATAAATACCTAGAAGAAATGCTATCCTATGAGCAGCTGTATTTGCTAGTAATTACTAATCGTAGTATTCATACCTCATTGAAAAAAATCTAGAGAAAGTGAACACTTTCTAAAAACAAATTTTGTTTCTGGGAAGTACTGCATGGGAAAAGTGTTTAGATTGTGCTCTTTAGTTATATGCAACTCATTGCCATCAAAATGATTCAATGTACAGAACTCAAAATTTTCATAAATTTTACTGGTATAAACTGTAATGTTTTTATTTATTAAAAGTGGTACCATTTATTGAAAAAATTATAGTTTTTTAAGAACTCCAGTTTCTCAGTACAACATTTAAAAATTACACCAATAAAGATATAATCAAACCCTCATGTACAGTCCAAGTGAAAGTCATGTTCTTGTTGTGAGGAGAGTACTTTTATTTCAAATTGTGTTCTATTATAAAGAAATGGTTGTTGCACATACCACAGTTCTTTTTCTAATTTGCTTGAATCTTGAATATCCCTTGTTAAATTTTTTATGGATTTTTGTTTGTGGAGCCACTCAATAGGTGGCACAGGAGTTTTGGTTACATACACAGATACCGACATACACGCCATGTCCATTATAATAAGATATAGTATTAAATATAAGAGAGAACTATTGGTAATTTGTGAAAGAGAGGATGTGACAGGTGGGTGTGACAAGAGGGATCAAATTACTAGTTTATGACTCTGTAACCAAATAAGATTGAAGGCTATAAAATTATGCTTTGCCTGAGTAAAAACTACCTTGTAATGAGTAATTTACATTAAATTCTTTATTTTTTGGAGGGGTGATAAATAAATTAGAGAAGAGAGCAAATGTCACAATTTCCATACTAGGGAAGACTGAGGATTTTTTAAAAAACATTTCCTTATAAAATTAAGAACTTGAGACTTATATAATATTAAAATTTGATTTATTAGCTACATTATTATGCCAAGTTTACTCATATACATTGATAATAAAGTAGTTTAATTAAATTCTGAATGTAACTCTGTAAAAGGTTGTGACATGTGCACTTTGACCTATCTGATGCAAAAGAGTTAATGGATCACAGGCATGACAGAAGATGATGGCAGGCCCTTTGAACTCCAAACATCTTGAAAATATTAATGTGCATAGACTACTCCTCTGGAGACTAAACACCCAAAATGGTGAACCTGTACAGGAGTGCATCCTACCTGAACAGAGGTATTCATGGGCAGATGTAAATCTGGGTGAGGTGGAGGAAAAAGGATGCACGGGGTTGTATAGGAATGATCGAATCACTACAACAATAAGAGGTAAAAAGACAGAGGTGGAGAAGTTAGTGGATCAGAGGGTATATTCCACTGATCTGCCAGAATTAACAAAAGGGGACACAAAAGTATAGGACCAGAGGTATAAGGGGCTAGAGAGTTGCTAGATTTCCCAATAGAGATAGCATCTCTCATGCAGGAATAGGAGACATGAGAGCTTTGGTAACCAGAAGCTCCATATATTAGAGACATAAGTGAGAAGGTTAATCCTGTCTAGCAAATAAGTTGATAAAAACTGCAAATGAATCAGATACTGAGTTTGGGTCAATACTAACTTTGAAAGCTTGACCAGTCAACCCAAATGAGCAGACTCCTGAAGGAGAAGGGAAATTGAAGCAGAGGAAGTCTCTCAGAACAGGGCTAAGACAAATCAATTGGCAATATAGTAATGGAAATTCATATCTGACAAGAAGACTCAGTGCAAAGGCCCTCAGAACCCAATTGATAACATACAGAGTTGTAAGTAACCCTAAGGGAAGGACTCTGAACTGAGAAATCTAACCTCTGTGGACAATACAAAGGAAATAATGAGAGTCTGGATGAATTATAATATGGAAAAAAGCATTTGAAACATCATCCAAGGTAATCCACAACCCAAGAAGAAGAAAGACCAAAGTTTGAGGCTCATGCAATTCATTTATCCCCGAATCAGTAAAAACAACTGGAGTAAGAGAAAGATTGTCATATACTTTAGATATTAGGAAGGACAAAGATGGGGTTATCTGATCTTTGTCTGGGATAGAAAAACCAGAAGCAAAGGTATTCTGTGGGAAGAGCTGGTCAAAATCATCCAAAGACATGGCAGGCTCAGCAGAAGCTACAGAAGTAGGAGGCAGTGAGTTCTAGGCTTGAGACAAATAATATAGGACAGAATCAACCACTTGATGTACAAAGGCAGTAACATCACTCATTGTCAGAGTACCTCAAGTTGCCATTGAATTACAATAAGATGACTCCTGTTAAGGAATGTATGGACCTTGAGAAGTTTCAGAATCGTGGATACGAGAATTCGTAGCCTGTAAGATCCGCAAAACTGAAAGTTGTTTTTTGGTATCTTTCTGTCTTTTAAGATAAATAAAATTAATGTCAGAAAGATAATTCTTATGTGAGATATTTCAATCTAAAATAAAGGCACAATGCAAATGATCCTTTGTTTGTTCTTAAGAAAAAATAACATTTAAACGGTATAGTACCGGGAAAAGAATGAGCTCTTGTTTTACACTGTGCTCAAGGGGAGTATTGAGCAAGGAGCGAAAACTCTTTCTGCTAGCCACATGTGCAAAATACTTTTTGGAATTAGTGCTGAGGCATCAACTAAATGTTCTGTACCACACTTTGAAATTTTATTTTTGATTCATTTTTTACACAACATTACTAGCTTAATTTTGTAGTGACAACAGTCAAACTATGTGTTACAAAATTCATATCAATACTTGAAAAATGAAATTTGATTATGCATATGAATTACCTTGTGTCAAAATTGTATTCTCACCTTGATTTTCTCTTTCCTGGCTTTTCTCTTCTCTTTTTTCTTCTCAGTTAACTTTGCTAATTTTTCTCTTTCAATTTCTTCATTTAAGGGACTAGGAATCTTTTGTATACATAGAATTAAAATGTTACAGGTTTTAAAACTGACTAGTCAACAAAGTAAACTCTAGAGGATTATTTAAAGGTAGACAATAAATAATTCAGAAGTGCTTGTTTGTGTGCATGTACAATGTATAAATAAGACATGAAATAATTTGTTTTATTAGATCCAATATGTATCAGATCAAGATAAATATTCTATATTTCTCAGTAAAAAGGCTTGTAAACAAATATTGGAAAAATCAAATTATCTGAATTAAAACAAATAATATTTTTTTCTTTGAAGAAATAACCTAGAGTTGATATTTTCAATTAACATTTTTTGCATCTGATTATTAAGTTCATAGAGTCATAGGTTATTTATGTATGCACAGAAGCCTTTTGGTATCAAATAGAAAAAAAAAAGATCTTAAGACCTTTATATGAGTAGACAAACATGGTCATGATAAAAAAGTTCTTCAAACACGAATGGAAAAGTATAATGGAAATCAATGATTAAGGCACTTTAATTAACTAGTTAGTCTCTGATAAATAGTCTATTTATAGGTTTACTGCAACTGGACTGTGAGTACTGGTTAAATACTCTGTTAGTATACTAAGTACAGTATTGTTGCCAAATTTTACAAGACAAAAGAAAAGATCATGCTGTACCCATAAAATAGTTAATTAAACTACCACCATTATATAAATAGTAAGAAAATATTTGTATGGTTAAAACACCTGTACTTGAAGTTATTTACAGATCCCTGAAATAAGTACAAGTCACTACAAGATCTTTGGTCAAGAGATAGCAACATTATTTTTGTTTAAGCTTAGTATAATTTGAGTTCCCTAATCTTTCTTTACAACGTTAAGCTTATTAAATGTTGAAAAACATTTATATATATTATATGTTAATTGAACTTTTGAATAAATCAATAACTTTCCCTATTACTTTGTATTTATTGGTTTTGAAAAATAACAGTACAATTACATTTGAATAATTCAAAAGCAAATTATCTAAAATCTGTTTCACTGGAAGTTGTGTTTATGTTTCAGAAAAAAATAAAACTAAACTCTTGCTTAACACAATTCATGCAAAATGTTTTCAGAAAACAAAACATTTTCCTTTGGGATATAATATAAAAAACATATCTGAAATGTTACGCAGAATACACATATATGGGTAGATTTAAAAAATAAATATATAAGTATATACATATTAATTAACATTCTACATCTAAATTAAGATGCATTATAATTGTCTCTAGTATGGTATTACATTCTAGGAGTATTACCTGCTGGTTGGGGCATCACAAAATGTTTCAATCTAAATGTAGTGAAAAGTGTTGTAGCTGTTTAAACAGTATGAATGAAACTATTTGAAACATGTTATGTATTGCAACATCTTGAATAAGACGTTTCATGAAGTAGATCTAGCTGGGATGTATTATGATGGTGTCTAGCAGGTATGTACAGTATTATAACACAAAATGCTTCAGATGCTCAAGATACTCACCTGGGACATGTCATAATTGTATTTTTCTGGGAAGTTTCCCATGAACCTTCGAAACTCGTTTCTAGTTTCTTTGTCTTTTGCCATTAAGTAAGGGGTTTTTCCATATTTATCTCTACAAAAAGGAAGAACATATTAATAATACAATTACTGTTTGGCATACTCCTGAGTGCTTACAGATTACATATAAACATCCTTTGCAACAGTACATCACAATTTAAATATAAAATTTAGTTTATAAACATATTAAAAAATTATATCTTTCTCATTCATTAGTCTTTGATCACAGATAAAACAGTGAAAATTCTAAGCATAAAAAATAAAAGTTCAAGAATAAAGAAATTATAAACAGTTGTAATTAACATAAAACAAGATCATACTATGAACTGACAGATAAGTTTAGACCTAATGTACACCGAAAACCAATATCACCGTTATAGACTAACTTTAATCAAAAGAACTGTACACACAGTAGGCTAGCTGTCTGATCTCCCCAAAGTATGTCTCTGAACAAAGCAGTACAGGGAGATCACTAAACAAACAATTACTTACAAACTGATGAAATAATAATAAGTTATAAAAGTAAATAAATAAACATCAATAATTATGAAACACTAGACAGTAAGACCTTACTAAAGTTAAGCCTAATTAGTGGGACATATTCCTAGAGTCTAGGCATACTCATACTTTGAAAACAAGGCATAAAATAATAAATAACTGCACCAACAAGTCAGATAAGAGTCCTCTGACATTGAACTTTTGACCCTTTAAACTCAATGCCTTTCACGATGATGTAATCCTCAAATAAGAATTTAAGTTCATTATATTTATGCAAAAGCTACAGAAAAATAAACAAATCGTTAGTAATATGTGTAACCAAATGTGGAAAATATTAAAAGATACTCAACAATTTTTACAGTTACACCAGAAATTAGTTTTACAAAACATACATAAAGGAGTACATAATGGCTTTTTATCTTAGAGAAAAGCATTATAAAATTAAGTGATGTTTTTGTTATTACTTGGAAGATATCACTTCAAATCAAAATTTCACTCTCCAATTTTAACCTAAAAGTGTGTTTTTAACTAATTTTGCTTTGTTTGTAGCTTACTGGGTTCTAAATGGTTTTATTGTTTGTCCCACTCTTACTTAATAGAAGGTGTAAATTATTCAATTTACATGACAAATTTATTTCAACTAACAATTAGAACCAAATATGATACATTTCTGTCTTACTTTGTACTAGGATCAGCACCATTTTCCATCAACAATCTGACTATTTCTCTCTGACCTTCCTTGGCAGCCACGTGCAGTAAAGTTGACCCTGTGTCACTGATTGGCTCATTTAATATAGTAAGGTTAACAGGTGGAGTAGAGTCACTTTCAGACCCGGAGAAAGAGCGTGAATGACTTCGACGACGGTGGAAACGAGACTTTGGAGAAAGAGGAACTTCACTATCTGATACAGATATTTTCTTTACACAAATTCTTTCATGAAATACAGAAAAAGGATTTAAGTCTTTTGCTTTATTTCTCATTTCCTCATCCATAACTGATCCCCCACTGCTGTGTCGTGAGCGAGTGGACCTCTTGAGTGGACTATTGACATGAAAAGATTGAGTCTGGCTTACTCTTTCTGGGTTTACTTGACTATCTTCAAACTTTGTTATAGTTTCACCACAAGTAAGTTTTTCCACTGTTTCAGTGTTTTTCTTTAAAACATGAAGTATAGATGTTAATTCTGTGAGGTCACCAGTTTTACAAGCCAAGTATAGGGTGTTCCTCATGCAGAACTTTTCCTCACCTGGTGGTTAATCACAGAAGTAAAAATTACAAAAGTAAACAGATATTGATGCAATTCAAGATTTTTATTAAAACATTTATTACATTAATATAGTATTTTTATGTGACAAAAATAACTAAAGGATAATTTCTTGTTAACAGCTACATACATGTATAATTACAAATGTACAAAAACATGATTTTTTTTTTAAATTCTAAGTGTAAAAAGATTATTGGTATATAAAAGCATAAAACTAAAATTTTGCTTCAAAATATAAAATAACGAGATTAAATGAGATGTAATACGTACATGGAGTTAGTTCAAAAGCAGAAAAATTTTGGGTACATTTTACTCAGATTCAAAGCCAAGAAAGTAATATACAAGACCAAAAGTTTCAACCACTTTCTAAAATATTACCACAAAACAACATATACAAGACTTTTACCTACTTTTCAACCCAGTTTTATTAATACTTACATTAGTGTAGTAGTAGTGGTGGAGTGGACTTAAACAAATGATGATCATTGCACCACATTTTGTACAGTAGTTTTCACATATATTGATAAAAAGAAAGATGCTTCAAACTTACACATATCATTCCAGCAGTTCTGCATATATTAAACACGTGTTAATAACACTTCAACAGAGTATAGCATGGACAATACAGCTCAGTAGTCTAGTGTAACATCGAACTATCATTCAATATAATTTGTAGGCTAGAAGAGAATAAATCTACCTTACCTAAAGCTTCACTGTGAGGATCTTGTTGCCTTTTAGAAAAACCATTATCTTTCTTTTTTCCTTTCTTATGCCTATTTCTCCTAGGTTTGTATGTTCCATCAAATTCTTTCAATTGAGTAGTATCATTTATTTCTTCAGTTATTGTAAGAACTGTGTCTTCCAAATCTAAAGCCAGGGTATTAGGGGGATCACTCCAAATATCTGCTAAAAGTTAATTTGAATTTATTCAATTGAAAGTTTTAATTAATATTTAAAATCTATAAATGATAGTTTTTTAATCATATGAAATTTGTTTATAATGTTTCATTTTTCAATTGGTAAAAACTGTTTTTAGATAATGTTTCTTTTACCTTAAAATATTAATATTAATTTTTGTTTGCTCCAAATCTTTCCACAAAGCTATACAGGGATAATCTGAACTGATAGACTACAGAGAGAAAGCAGCTAGCCAACAGCATTCACTGTCAACTCTTTGGGTGTTCAAAATCGATTACTAAGATCTGACCACCACTCTTATAATACACACACATTCCTAAAATGTGAAGCACGATTTTGCAGTAATAGGTTGCAAAATACAAATTCTGGGAATCACAATCTGGCATGCTAACCACTAGGCCGCTCCCAGCCACAAATAATCAATGAATTAGAAGTTTAATTTCAAGCAGATTTTACAAGGGTTTATGGGAGACACTCGTTAGTTTAATTACATGCACTTTTACTACTAGGACAAGTATTTCTGTGTGATTTGTACAGTTAATGAAAAATGTAGGAGCACTCACTCTACTATACACATTTCATGATATATCTTTCAAGCATGAGTGTATGGATAAGCAGGATCTTTCCCTATTTTTTAGTAGTAAGTACTTCATATATAGTACTCAGGCCATCAGGCATTCTATATTTTCCAAAACTTTGTTAAATTTTATAATTTTTTCCTAAGTAAAAATTGAAATAAAAAAATTTAAATTAATGATGAAGTTCAAGGTTACTTATTTAATTTTTTATAATACTTTCAGGTAATACAAACCCAAACAAATAAATTATTTTCATTTTGGAACATATTACTCTAATAGTCCTAAAAGTTGTGATAAAAATCACATTAACCATCTTTAGCTTGATAATCACTTATCACTGGTATGAAATGAAATTACTTTTTTTTTGTAGGTTCTAATTTTATACCATGAAATATTATTCTTATTATTTTATTTCTGTCGTGAAATTTTTATGATTTTATCATATTCTTGCTGTTAATTTCCTAAAAAATATACATGAAACTTTTATTTTTTTTACAAAAAAAAAAACAGATGTGCTGACATACTACATATAACTACCACATCTTGTATTACATTTTTATCTGTTTTGTCTTACTTATTGGAATTACCTTACATTTCATGTTGAACCAAATGGTTAACTAGATGCTATTACATAATGAAGTAACATATTTTAACTCCACCTAAACAATATATAAATAGCATAAATACAAAGGAAAATGTTGTGTACCATCATTCAGTGTATTACTGGTGATCTTCAGAATTGCCTGATCATCATCTTCTGTCTTGGACTGATTTTCAATAACAATTCCAATGTCGCTGCTGTTATCAACAGGTTTACAGCTTGTGTTTGAGGATGTTCCAGTGCAGGGTTGAGGAACTTTCTTAGGCTTGGAAGGACTAATATGAAATTTAGGTGATCTTGGTATTACTGAGGTGTCTACAAAATCCTTTTCCATTCCTAAAAATCATCATGATACAGGAAAGTGTTAGACATCACTACATAGCTGTAATTAATCAGGAAAAATCTGAATATTTTTTGTTCAAAAAGATGCCAAAACATCATACAGCAGCTAATTATTTTGAAAAAAAAAGAGGTTTATGTACATAGCATCTAACATGGTATTAAGAAATTTAATGTTGATAAAATAGTTTGTGTAGAAAAATACCTACATCCCCAAAGCTGTTTGTTATTTTACAACAAATTAATTAGTGACGGAAAAAAGGTCACAATACTTCCCAGTAAATCAAAACAGAAAATTTTCACATACTTGTCTAGTGATTGTACAATTAAATTTAGTCTCTGTACATTTTATTTACATTATACCCTATATAACAAATGTAGCTTACTTAATGTTAGTCACACAGTGTTATAGTCAAGGCATAAGTATACGTGTATAATGTGTGAATCGCAATTTCTTCCTACTCAGTAAGTTTTAGTTTGTTGAACAATTCAAAGTCACAGAGTCTCATTTCACTGTTAAGGATAATATTTCAGTGTCACTAGGTTGTTATTGTAGCATGAACTAACATTAGATCTACACCTCAAAATTTACTTGCTCTTCAGGCAATTAAACAAGATTATTTTTATTGCACCTAAACAAATTGAAAACTATTTTGGTTCATGAATAAATTGTTCTTTTCAGCAATTTCAGAAAAAAAAGTGATACTTTCTGTTACCTTTACCAGTTAGTTCGGCTGTTATAATAAAAGTCAACGTTTCAGAGCCAACAAATATTGATATTTCTGTATTATTTCATCATGCGTCATTCATCTTAATAACTTTATTGTAAAATATCTACCAAGTTCATCTATTGTTAAACACAAAGCTACACAATTGGAATATCTGTGTTCTGTTCACCAATGGTATCAAACCCAATTTTTAGAAATATAAGCTACAAGCAAAAGTACCCATCCCCAGTGATGGGAAAAGTTAAAGTAATCTATCAATTTAAACTATTTCACAGACTTTGAAAAGGTTAATTGTGTTGCACTCTTGGTTTTACTCAGACCCAAAGCTCTGAGCTACTTATACCACCCACCATGAAAAATAGTTGTTGAGCATTTCAGTTATGCTAAGAGGCACTCAACAATAACATACAGTAAATTTACATTTTTATTCTTTAAGCTACATCACATTTTGAAATGTGAATGATTTTGTGATTAATTCCTAACAATTTAGTGTTGAATATCCTGCTTGTTCTCCTATTATTTCAAAAGTGAATGTTGAGCTTTGCCTGCGTGTGCAGCTTTTCAAAGGGGGAGACAGACAAACACTTGGCCAGACACCATAGTTTGCAATATATATATATATATATATATATATATATATAATCAAACTTTCCACTGAGCCATTGGAAGGTGTGAGATACATCATTTACTATCTTTATAGTTTTTTACTAAATAAGATTTTTAAAGATGACAACTGATGTAAGCTATTTTTAATTGATGTAAACAGATCACTAGATATACTCAACAAGGGAATGTTGTTTCTACAGAGAGTTAATAACCTTTACTCAAACAATTTCTGTTCGTTAATGCAGAGGCATGTTTAGCACCTAAATGTTTAGTTAATGGCAAATTACCAACTACTTGACACTGCATTCTACCAAGGATAGAGTGACAGCTGGAGGATTATGTCACAGCCCTTTCCAAAACAGACTTGTATAGATGATTTGTTGTAAACATGAAGAGGCAAAGGAAAAATATTTCACAGAAGGGAGACTTCAATGTTAAAAATTGTTTAATAGAGTGTTAATGATAGCAATGAGTTCCAAAACCACACCTCAAGCCAATCTGAAGCAATAACCTCATCTGTCAAATGAAGGTTATGGTTACAAAAGAGAACTCTCCAATTCAAAAATCCACTGCAATAAAACTGGGCATATCTCCTTGACTGTTAACAAGGTAATAAATATGGATAAGTAGTTGAAGAACTCAGATGCCAAAGGTTTATTTTTAAGTCACAACTCAAAAATCAATTGCCAACTTTGTAGAAAGATGGCAAAAGCAGCTGAAATTTATCAGAAATCACACACAACCCCATATCTCTTAAGTCTTCCATTGCAGCCCCAATGAGCCTTTGTGACTTTGACCTTTAAATGTGGTCTTGGAAACTACTAACCACTTACAGCGTAGAGACTGGGGAAAGTTTATAGAGATATAAGTTCTTAATAGAGGCTTGTTATAAAGAAAACTATGGTTTCAGGAAACTATGAGTATCCATGGCCACCAGACTGAGCACGATCATTGATGGAGGAAGTAATTTCAAGCACAGCACAGAACTTGGGTCACCACTCTTGTAAAGTGTACTTAATCTTAGTATTACTGTCATCAAGTTAGTTATAGATTGGTTGGACAGATAGTAAATAACCAGTAAAACTCTGAATACTTAATAAATATTTCAGTACCTAAAGTATTATTTTAGAGAAATATTAATACACTTTTAAATACTATGTTGGAACTATCACTCTCATATTAACATTATTTACCATGCAATTATTTACTTTAGCAGTGATAAATATATATGATCTTAGGTTTACAATATCTAAGTGTAGTGAAATTATTATGTGTATATTGGTGTATACAAGACATATCAATGCTAGTAATAAACAATCTGGTAACACCAAATTTGTTATTTTTTTAGTTGGACATACAGTGTTTCGCTTTACAGTTTTTTTAGGAAAGATTGTTTGTTTGTTTTTGAATTTCCCGCAAAGCTACACGAGGGCTATCTGTGCTAGTCGTCCCTAATTTAGCAGTGTAAGACTAGAGGGAAGGCAGCTAGTCATCACCACCCACTGCCAACTCTTGGGCTACTCTTTTACCAACGAATAGTGGGATTGACCATCACATTATAACGCCCCCACGGCTGAAAGGGCGAGCATGTTTGGTGTGACAGGGATTCGAACCTGCGACCCTCAGATTGCGAGTCAAGTGCCTTAACCACCTGGCCATGCCGGGCTTTTAGGAAAGAGTACTCCACTAAAGCACAAACTGAAACTGACAGTACAAAACTTTGATTAGTTTAAATAATAAATTGAAACTATGTACTGTCAGTTACAGTTTGAGTTTTAGTGGAGTGCTTCTGAAGAAGTTGTAAAATGAAATATGTGTTCAATTAAAGAAAAATAACAAATCTGGTGTTATAAGGTCATTTATTACTAGTATTGAAATTATTGTTATTTGACATGAGCCTTCAGAAACTACATGTATAGGATTCAGTCTTAAGTCTGCCAGACATTTTCCCCCCAAACACTACTTTAATAAAATCACAAGGAATGAAAAATAAAATTTCAATAAAAAGGTAGGTGTAAAGGAAAATTAAACCTAATCAAATTTTCTAAACCTTACCAAAACATTCTAATGTAGCTAGAATTCTGTGAATGCGTTGGACTTCACTGAATGTTGCTCGGCGGGTAGGAAAAGGGATGGTACGAAGACGTGGATCATTCTTCTTAAAGGGTGGGTTTTTATTTCCAAATAAAGTTACTCTATTAAAGCTGGGAGCCCTATAAAATATTCTATCACAGGTTTGTAGCTCATCAGACCAGGAATTCAGTAGTGTCTGGATATCCTGTAACAATCAAAATAATAAGTGGTGAATAAGACTTATCAAAACTTTATAATGGCGAATTAGGCTTATAAAAAGTATATAATCTTGTGAGCTTTTTGTAAATGATCAGTCCAGAAGTTCAGTGGCTTTTGAATGTTTTGAAACAGTACACAAAAGTGGCTAAAATTTAATTAAAAATTATAAACTTAAGACAACTGTAGTCCATCAGATCAAGGGCTCACTAGCATTTGGATGCTTTTTAACAAAAACGTGAACAATAAACTTTTTAAAAAATTTAAAATCTTGTAAGATGATTGCAGCTAGTTAGAGGAAGAATATAACAGAACTTAGATATCTTTTTATTTTACTGTATGAACAAGATAAAATATTTGAAAGTAGATAGAATTTTTTATGGAAAAAAATCACTATAATTAAAAAATTAACAGTCTAAATAAATTATTTTTCAGAATTTTAAAGTACATCAAATAAAATTCTGAAGTTTACACTTTTTTGTAATATCTTAGAAACTAAGAATAAGTTTTAGGATTTAAACAATACAGTTCATAATTTTCCCTTTAGAGGTGTATTTTAATGTAAAGTTGAACAGAAATACTTACATTTAAAGCAAAAGACTGATAAAGAATAGGCATATGTCACTCTTTTCATTTTCCAACAGGTCAATGTATACTACTTTTCTACCGTTAGCTCGAATATTATTTTTACCAGTATTTCTTAAGACATTCACTATTTCATAAACCATTTAGTTTTAGAACTTCACATGTACATGCACTGTTAATTAACACCATTCAAACGTTTAGCATGTTCATGTTCACAGTTTATGTTTTTTGATGTTCTTTAATACTGAATGAACAGTGTTAGTAGACCAAATATTTAATATTTTTGAAAAAAATCTGATATTTTAAAAACATTCATTATTTTCTTTTCCTAAGTAGAGTTGAAATATATAAAGCATGAATGTAGAGTATTGAATGTGTACTTTTGCCAGCTGTTAACACTTGTTTTATTGATTCACATTTGAACTTATGAAGAACTAGGCCCATATGTTGAATCTAGCAAATTGACAACAATTATGGTAATAACTGAAGAGGCTTCAAACCTGTAGTAATTGTAATAACAGTGAATTTTGTATAAGCCATGAGGATAATACACTATAAAACAATTAAGACACTAGGACATCATATTTTTACAAGTTAAAATGTTTTTTTACTTATGAGTATGATTTGTTGGAATGTGTAAAACAATCTGTTATTTTATTTTATTGTTTATAAAATCTTGTGAGCCATGAAACATAAATTTCAATTAAGACACAGTGGACCATAAAACCAGTGCCCCTTCTAATATATCTCCTACAATTAAAATTTCTTTACATAAGTCTGAATTGTTACATAGTTTTATGAGCTAGGTATTTTTCAAATATAAAGATTTGTTTCATCCCACTTTTTTTTTAGTTTGCCTGTTTTTGTAATCAAACCAAGTACTATGTCATATTTAGCTGAAACGAGCCACTAAAATTATTTATGATGATTTAGCATTGTTTTCTTCAAACATCAAAACAAGATTTATGAAAATTTCCAGTGTGATTGTGGTTATTATCAAATGTTAACAAAATAAAAACTGTATTTTAATAAGTTGTACAATAAAAATACCTGCACTTTAATAATAGCTGAATATTTTGCAAAAAATAAGGAGGACAACATATGAATTTCATTTTGTTAGAAATTTTGTTTAATAAATATTTGGTGTTTTTCAACATAACTCTAAAACTCTTAATTTGTATTTATTGGCCTAAACTTTTGTAGCTGTTTTTTTTTAATTTACAAAGCATGTTTATTAATATATGGTAAAGTTTGAAATAATTGAACATTAAGAAACTTTATACATTGGTGGCTTTATGAAGTTTCATTTGTTGAAATAGTCACAAATTATTCTACCTATCTCATAGTACAAACTACTTTTGAATAAGAATCTCTTAGTGTTATGAAAATGAAACTATTTATACAAAAGAGTCATAGGCGCTTGAGATTTGATATGCATGACGAAATAAGATCTCGACTAAGTTTTCTTGAACATAATTGTTGTATAGCTTGCAAAGATCAAGCAGAAGCCAACACAAGTTTTTTTTTTTTTATGGTAAACTTTCCACTGGATGTTACCACTTATGTTATGAACTAGTGTATATAAGAAAACAAGTTTATGATATTTCTGATGTTGAACAGTGAATCGAACACTGTTATGCTTAATAATGAAACATGATTGAGATCATTAATGATAGTAAAAGTGTCATTTACGTGCCTTGTTTTTCATGAAAAAGACTGACCAGAGAATGAGTAAATCTAAAGCCCATAGCTACACCACCAATCTGATCATAAACATTACCATTAAAAAACATCTGTGTACCCTTTTTTTCATACATAAAATTAAGATGCATTTTTATACCATGTTGTCACCAGCAGTGTTTTTTTTATATATAATTACATAATCTATCCATTAAAAACATCAACTGTGGTTTATTAATTTACTTGCTTCAAATAAGGTTATGTTAGGTTTATCACAAGAAGGTCGTAGACATATGTGGAGTAATGTGCAAACTTAAGGACACTGAAGAGATTGATGAAGTTCATTCAAATTATTAGCTAAGGCTAATGATGAACAAAGCCTCAGTATAAAAGACAGGTTTAGTCATTTATAACCAAAGGTTGCATTTTATGAAGTCAGATGAGCATTTAAGTTGCTGTACACCTTATAACATTCATAACAATTATTGTAACAGTAGCCAATAGTTATAAAGACAGGAAAAATTTTGAAACTGGGAATGCTAAGCATCACAAAGCCTTAACATTTCACATAATGTACACATGTCCTCGAAAACTAGGGTTACAGCAGTACCTTTTTGCACACTTACTTCCTCACCTGTATAATAGCCATTTCATTGTGGCGACGTAAACTTGCTCCGGCAGATTTCGGTTGGATTCCTTGCCTTGAGTCCTTGGAACCCTGTGAGCCTCCTTGCTTGGCTCGTACTGTGTATCGATGAAAAGTCTTATGACAAACAACTTCTGTACTGTAAAAGACACCTTACACTTTTATTCTTCAACAACAGATATGAATGACATCACTATTAAAGCACAGTCACAATTATTTATTTTACTTTTAATGGAACTGTGTGTTTATAAAATGGAAACAACAAACATTGTATTTGTGAATTTAATGTAGTTCTAGGACCTTGAATCAGAATTTAACTAGGATTAAGAATAAATAATATAATGTACAACTGTAGGGCACAAGTTAAACATAAAACATCTTTGAACTGTGTATAACAGCAGATTCTTCATAAATAATTCATAGTTAACAGATATAAAAGTACATGCATTAACAATAAATATCCAAAATTCATGTTGATTTCAATCACTTCAGATAGAATTACTGTATGAACCAAATTTTTGAAGTTATTGTAAATACCCTATTAGAACAAATAAAATTTTTATGAAGTTTTCACCAACTTACTCTAATCAGAATTTAGAATATTCTCATGTACCTTATTTTTGAGAGAGTGGCTTTTGAAAAAAACATATTACTTTTTCTACAAGACTTGTTCTTTTGTGCCAGTTTCTATTGGTTAGAACCCCAATTTTTAATAATGGATTTTAAATGAAGTATGAATACATTTATCAATGCAGGAACTTCAGTGAATATATTCCATCTTCCTTCTACCAGAAAGGCTCCTCCTTGAACAAATATTTATTTGGCAATGAGCACATTGAAACCTTAAAAGACTAGACAATTGAAGTAGGCTTAATATGGACTAAATTTACTTTTTTCCTAAATGTAAGTTCCAATTTTTTTAGAAGAATTATGTAGTAACTGTGTGGTAGAAAATTATTTGAGAGGCCATATCATACTTCTCCATAATCACTTGCTTCATTTCAAGAACAGATTTTTAACATTCTCTCTTTTTACCTTTGTGTTATTACCTTACACAATACAAAATCTCAAAGAAAAAATGTTTATGTAGATGCAACAAGAGAATGAAACATTAGCACATACCAAGTTTAAGTTAAGCCTACTTCACACTTAAATATAATATAACACAATGATCACATAATAAATCTATACTACTGACTTTCACAATACAGTTTGCAAATTTGTGATCAAGGTAAGTAACCAACACTGAACAGTGAAGAACAAACTACAACACACTTGTGTACTGAAGTATTAATAAAACATAATACTAGTTAGTTTAAAAACAAGAGAAACGTTGTATCCACTGATTCTTTGTTCCTACTATTTTGTCTTCCTGATTACCTAATTAAACAGCTTCTCATCAAATGTAAATAATTTCAAAGAAATCTACAATTCACCCAAGCTTATGTCATTATCTTATTCAAAGTAAATAAGAATGCGATGCTAAGATTTGTTAAGAAACACATAAAACTAACAATAAATTATAAAGAAGCATGAGATTAATAATGAAAAGCATGTTATAAGAAATCAAGTGATATCATAGTACAAGATTTATTCTTATCAGTAACAAAGTTAATGAACCCTGTCTTTAACCAGGCAGAAAAAGTAATCTAGAAACTAACTAAAAAGCCACAATACATGAAATGTGACAAGAACTTTCTGTACAGACTTTAGTAGAAACTGAAACAAGCACTTGTAACATACCTCCAAAAATAGTGATTATTTTGTCAAATGCAATTTTAACAGATTAAAAACTGTGTACAAAAATTTCTTTATCCTTAACTTAAGCACTTAAAAGGAATGTTAAAAACAAAGAGTAAGATTATTGATCAAATATATGACAGGAGAGAATGGCTAGTTACAAATATCACACTTACCCATTGAATACAGCTGCAGCAAAATGTCCTCCTCCAACCAGAATTATTAACCATTTCATTTGACTTGGTAACTGAGATGCTAAAGAAACCAGATCTTTTTGACAATGAGGAACAGCCTGTAAACATATTTGCCAATTAATTTGTAGGTTAATCAAAAATCTGCCAACAAAAGCTGCTTACAAAACATGTTCTTCATGATACAATATAGAGAAAAACAAATTGTACAACTTTGATGTCACTCTAGTAAATAAGGCAGGTGCGACAATTTAAGATAATCAATTCATTGCTATGTAATTATGCATCACTGAATCCTGTAAAAAAACATAACTTTAATGTGATAAAAAACTCCAACAAAACATACCAACTTCCCATGAAGCACTGATCGATAAAGGGCAATAACTTGATTTTCTTTGTTTTTTAAGTACACTTTAGGTTCAAATCTAGCTTTGGATGGACTGCTCCTTTCACTTCCATCAGTGTCATCTCCTTCAGTGTCAGAAGATGTCACACTAGGAGCCTGATGATGCAACTTTTTAAAACGAATGCGTGTAGGGATGCCTGATGGCCTTGGACGTCTTACTGGACTACTTAGGGCCTCACTTCCACTTGTATCAGTGTAATCCCTTTCTGAGTCTTCATAGTCTGACTCCAAGTCTGATGCAGACAAACTGGAGATGTCATCTAATGTAAAAACACCAAATTTTTAATGGCATTCAACTTTTATTTTACCTAAAGCTTTCAAAGTATTTTATATCAGGTTTTAAATTACTTCTTTTTTATGTAAAGGTCAAAAACTTTCTCTCACAGGTCATTTGTCCTAATTTTCAATTTAAGCTAAATGCTTATATTTTTTAATTTTAAAGCATGCATTATACAAAATATTTTCATTAAATTACAAAGAAAGAATAACTACCACTTTGTTTGATTTTTTTTGGAAGCCTATTAGAATACAGCATTGAATATTAATTCAATAAATGTCACTTTTCAACTTCTCAAGTGACCTATGATAAAAGTATGTCATATATTTCTCAATATGTTACTACAATGGTATAAAAATGTTCCACCTGTGTTTGATAAATGCCTTTAGCAATAAGAGTAACTCCACAACTCTTTAAGAATGGTTGTAAATCCGAATATTGTGTTATTTTTCTCCAACAAAGCAAGTCAGTAATTTCCCTGGTCTTCTAACAAGTTATGTATATGAATTTGTTTATTACAAACATGTAATGACTGTAACATGTCATCATAACATACTTGTATGCATTGCATTTTTTTTCAGTACGAATTAGAAAGAAGATAAACTTGCAACTGTTAGACAAATCTGTAAATTTCCACTCTGTAAAACGTGTCAAAATATCTTGTAGTTTGATTAAGAGAAGAAATCAAATTAATGTAAGAAGTTACTAATTATTTTCAGAAGCTGTAACTGAAATCAATTTTAAAATTTGTATCTGTCATTTTTCAAGATCAAGAAAATAAATGTAAGAACAATAACACTTTAATTGTTAACTACAGGCTGAACATAATAAGCCCAAAAATTCCACAATTCTTAAAAAAAAAAAAAGAAGAAGATGAGCTTTTGTTGTGCACAAGTGGAGTACCATACATGGGTGATGTGTATGGCTAATTAAACCACAGGCTGGCAATACATATTATTATGTCTAAGGTTGGGAGTTTCATTCAAATTGTGAGAGCAACAATGTGATGAAAGAGAAATGATCAACGTGCAATTAGCCCTTTTATTGAGTAGCTTGGATATATCCGAATAAACATTTATACCCACTGACTACGAAATTCGGATTTACCCCATGACTATTAAACTACGTTTCCCTCTACTGCAACATGAAACTGTACTTGAAACAATCACCAAACCTGCCATCTGTGTTCTATGCCGTGAAACCTGGATGTTTATATACCTCATTACAAAATTTCCAACTTTGCAGGAACACATATAGAATCTATATAAAGACAGCTTCTTTATATCTTGTATACTGTTATCTAAATAATTTGTTTTATATTTCGTAATGCATTTGGCCTCTTATTGACTTAGTTTTGCCTGTATTTATGCCATTTACCAGAGAACGTTTTTCTTCTAATTTTCCTTCTTATTTTTCACTATCAAATACTGTTTTCAAGGAATATTATTGTCAGATATAGAAAATACAGCTTCTTTGAATATCTAAAAAGTAAGACAAATGGTCAAATTCATACTCTTATTTTTTTGTGGGTAACCGACACTTTTTGGGAATCAGCCTGCAAATTAACTATGCTGTGAAACGGTTAAATACTTTATTAAATTCAGGTTAGATCTGAGAAATTTAAACCTATCTTTCTACCTATCTATATTTCTTTTATATTTTGTAACGAATTTGGCCTCTTACTGACTTGGTTTTGCCCATATTTATGCCAATTACTGGAGAACACTTTTCTTCTAATTTTCCTAAATTTTTTGTTTAAATCATTATTTATCACTCTCCAATACAGTTTTCAAGGAGTACTACTGCCAGATATAGAACGTACAGCTTCTTTCAATATTGAAAAAGTAATACAAAAGGTCAAATTCATACTTTTATTTTTTGGTGGATAATTGATGCTTTTTGGGAATCAGCCTGAAAATTAATTGCACAGTGAAAAGGTTAAACACTGTATTAAGTTCAGGTTAGGTCTAAGAAATTTAAACCTTTTTTTTTTACCAAAGCAACAATTTTATATATGAAAAATTATCGACATGCTATAGGATAAATACTATTTAATTTTAGTAAAGAAACTCTCATCTTTACAGATTACACTAGCTCTTAACAACTATTTGGATCTTATATTTTCCACTGTCCTACGTACACTATGATTGTTTAATATGAAGATGTAATCTGAAATTTAATATATCTAAAAATAAAAGTGTAATGCAAAATTTCCTTCTGGTAGTAAGCACGTTTACTGGTACAGAAGTTAGAGCAACAAGGAAAGCTATGAATGATATTTTACTTACATGTCATACAACATATTAACAACAATGTAGAAAACACTGCAACCTACCAGCCACAGTATCGAAAGTATCTTCAGACACTGGTAGCTTTCCAGCTAGTTTCTGCTTCAGGTTGAACCTGTGCCAGTCTAGTTTATAATGCTGAATCTGAAATAATTCGGTTGCTAATTCAACTAATTTTGAATTTTGCATTTGCTGATTTAATTACCAAGTTCACTTTTCTATTCCATGTAAGGCAACACAAATATTAGTTATGTTAACAGAAACATATCAAGATAATCATTTAACAAGAATCTTCTCAAATTTTAAAGATTTACTTTAACAGTTATAAAATTAACAAAATTAATTTTCATCCTACTGTTTTACAACTCTATTATAAAATGTAAAGGTTTAAATTAATATAGGAAATTTCCTGTTTAAACTGAGTTTTTTTATATTTATAAGCTGTGGATATGAATGGTATAAAGATATTTGCACGTACATTTTGAAATTTGATTTTATATACATAATTGTTGTAGCCAATTTGAAGTGTAACTTTATTAATGATATCTACAAGAAAATACATGTTAAGAAAAATAAGATCAAGTAGTTCACCTTTCAAATTTCCCCACAAGTTCCCCAAACTTAAAAAATAAAAGACACTTACTGAAAATAAAATAATTTAACAGAAGTTTGAAAGAATCCAATCTCACCGCACTCATAATAAGAAAAAAGGCTTAGGGAAAATCAAGACAGCATGGGTATAAGATAAGGCAAAAAAAACCCAGCAAAATCCCTTCTGTCACAGGAATGGGAAACACAAGTAAAGGTATTTCAGGTTCAAAAAAAAAGGTCCAGGTCACATGAAAGACTCTGTCACCTGCCACACTAAAGCCATCACTTCCTCAAACAGACAAATACAATGCTATTTTAGTTGTTAGTCTAGAATGAACAACATATTGTTGTCCCACACCAGACAAAGTGAAAGTTACTGCCACTTGTGAAATAAAAGGCCACAAAATCTGTAGGTGCAGAAAATGAAAATCAAACAATAAATATTTCCACAACAGTTAATGCCTTTGGAGATACTTCCACAGAAATAAAGCTTATATCTGAAAAGTTCACAAGTGAAAAACAACACATTTATACACACGAATGCCAAATTGAGAAGTGATGATTGAACAATCAGTATAGAGGGAGCCAGCTGTGTTAGGAGAATGTGTTACACTCCTATTAGTGGAAGGTAGTCACATGCTCACTTACAAGCAACAAGTTGGAGTTTCAAAGTTAGTGGTTAGCAAAAACTGTGTATATATAGGCAGTACTGAATTGGAAAAGCTATTATGCGAGAAGAGGCAAGGTATTATATCGGAAAGTAAGACAAGGACCCTCATACTTAAGGTTAGGCTCTTAGATACACAGCCAAGTTCTTTTCTTCTCTTAACACTTTCAACCTCAGTGAAAAACTTGAGTTTCTGTCACAATTAATCAAACCCAAATTTTCTTCTTCTTCATAACATTAATACATTTTTATAATTAATTTACATTACAATAATATATCCCATTTCCAAACTCTTGTCTGACCTTACCATTATTTATTATGAGTTGATGGTGTATTTCACATTTCATATTATTAGCATCTACAATTATTAAGGTAGAAATTTAAAATTTATACCAATATTGTATACAAAAATATTTTATTGGTAGAAGCTACATGATCTTTAGAAAGTTCTTCTGAAGTTTCAAACTATTCAACCAAGTAGTTTCTTCACAATACAATAATACAAACCATACAACAGGTGCATCACAAATAGGTGTGATAGTTAAAACACAAACATCCTAGATTACCCTTAATAATTAGGAGCAACAACAAATGGCACCTAATCCTTGCTCTTCTCACCTGCTCATTCCTTGTTGTAAAGACTGTGCTACAAACAGAGCAGGCCATCTTTGAAGAAACTTTCAAAGCAGCAACAGTAGCCACAGATTCTATTTCAAAACAAATATGCATAAGTAGGGGAAATTTAGAACTATTCACATTAAGAACTATTTTTAATTCAAACACCATTCTGTATAACATTAGGACATGCAACTGAATTATATATTAAATGTTTTTGGTATGTCTCACATTGTTACACTAATTTTACACATCATAGTGTGCCAGGCATACATGCATGTAACACATCCTTTACTTGTGTTTAATGCTTCATCAAACTCAGAAAAAGACACAAACATCCAGTGATTGTAGTAATATCAGATCATCCAGATCATTTGTGAAATGGGACTGGTACACTGACTTGTACATTCCACAAAAAGTAAAAAATGTGTATATAATATGCTTTATCATTTGTTACTGGATCAAGCCTTTATTCAATCTACATGTTAGCTTCACATATACATTTCTTGCAGATACTTATATTAGATAATAAGTACTTTTTTATTACAAGTACATATAAATATAAAATGAAAACTACTGCTTTCTTCATGATGCAAGCTATACCATTCAATGTGGCATTAATGTGATGCAATTATAAAACAAATTAAAGTTACTCAAAATAAGATAAACTGTATTAGAATTTTATGCAATAATAAAATCAAATATGATCAGTATACTTTATAGTACTTCTAATTACACAAAAGAGCTATGTGTATAACTACAGAACAAAATACATAGTTTTAGCTTTTATAAATCTATACGTGTAATTTTTCAACTTCAATAAATATATCTGATATGGACTGCTATATATATGAAGAATGCATAATTATTTACAACTACCATAATTATAGTATTGCCACTGTAAACATTTACTAGTTTTGTTGTCACTACTTATCAAAAGAACTGAAGCAGTCCTGCAAGCTAGTGTCTATAGCTTTCAATACCCTCTAAAATAGCATACTTTTTTTTTTATACAGAAACAGTGGTACACATTTCAATCACTATCTAAAACAAGTTTGGCAATATTATATACTGGACATAAATATCTGTCATTTCATGTAGAAAAATCAACATAAAAAGTAATACAAATCAAATTTTATATAATTATTTGAACCTAAATAAATTTTAAGGTAATTTGAATTTTGAATGTGGTATCTTTTTAAGTCAAGAAAACCTAAAAAAATTATTAGGCAAATTGTATATATGTAAACTACAAAAGGTGACAAAACTTTTCTACATACCAGCTTTTATCTTCTTTTTAGGGATAATATTATACAATTCTCTATCTTGTGCTGGAGTGCATTCAGCTATAGTTAGACCAGTTAACATTTCTCTGGCCTTATCTGTGTGAAACAGAAAACATGTTGAATAGTTTTCTAGTGTTTTTTTACTAAGGGCAATGTTGTTGCTCATCTTTATCTTCCAGCTGGTCGAAACATCACTGTCATTCCATGACTGTACACAACTTTGTGGAGAATCTGCTTTTATACTGTGAGTACTTTGCTGGTCAGAGGTCCTCTGTAATAAATTTTCATCAGTGTAATCTTGGTCTGCTGCATCTTCAGAGTCAGCAAAGTTGGAACCACTTGGTGCAAAATCTGACATGATATCCAACAGGTCCTTAAATACAACTTAACTGAAAAATGTGACAAAAGATCTGTTAAATAAATTATCTTGAAAAAATATATATATACATATAAAACATTAAAGAGTGTAAGAGCCAAAATTTCATCAGACTCTTAGCTCAAAAAATTCACTATGAATGGGAGATCTGTTTGAGCAGTGAAATGATGAAGATAGAAGTGATAACTTGAAACTCACAAAGACAAAATAAATTGTTGGAATTTCTGGTATTATTAGAGTATTGCATGTGTAAATGTTTACTCTGCCTACTAAAAGACATGGTCACTGTGAGCTTTAAAGTAAGAAAGCCCTTTACTTAGTCTTTAGTTAAATGCAAGAAGAGCACAAATCAGACTATTTCAATAATTGTAATCTGTACAGTTTGTAGCATTACTATAATAATAACCCAACATCAATATATTTACTTATGTTAACATGAGTAGTAGTTAATGTGCATTCAAACATTAAGAATAACACAAGTTACATTTATCCAATAATATGCTCGGGGAACAACACCATATTGGAGAAGGTATGTTGACTATAATTTCGAATTTACTACATTTATCTACATGAAATATGTCACACTTTTAGTTTTAGTAAGTTGTAAAAGACTGTTGTAAACAAAAAATCTGCTATAGTACAAACGTATTTGTACTCAGGATATGTCTGTGAGTTGACAACATCAATCTGACAAGTCAGAATGCTTAGTGGTGGTTGTATAAAGAATAAAAATTATAAGTATAGTTTGCATAACCTCTAGAACTTCCAAAATGCACATTTAGTGTTTTTTTCAGTATCATTTTATGTTGTATCTGGTATTTAATCTCCCCTTTACGAACTGTCGCTAAGTAAATCAGCAACGTATGGTAAAACTAAAAATGAATAACTTAAAGTTCAAGTTCAAATTCATAATACCACGCTGAATGCCACTCTATAAAAGTATAATTTAGTATAAAAGGTAGTGGCATGCTCGCCCCAACCGTGCACATATGGTTATATTTTGAACAGGAGGATGGAATGTTTTCTCTAAGTCTAACCTTTGTTCTTCACATCTACTGACCTAGTACTAGTAGTATTAATAACAGCAGTACTAATAAATTACTATTCCTATATATATATATATACTATAGTAATAGTAGTACCGGTAACTCAAATAGCTGATAACTAAATTTATGAATTTTGAGCTTTACATCTCTATACATTTCGTAATAGCAAAAACATAAAAACACAAAATTTGCTATGAACTACTAATTTCTAAACTATAAATTTATTAAAATTGTTCGTACCACCTGTTTATCTCAGTTAAGTACTTAAACTGTAACTTATGTTACATCAGTCTATGTCAGCGCCATCTAACATAATTATCTTTAATGGTTGAAATTTTCTTTGCAGTACAAAACAACAAACAAAAATTTTATTAGCAGAATTTTACGGCCGTTTATAAGCTATGATAATGAGCAAATGTTTTGAATGAATCAATAAGACACCAATTATGGCAACGTTAGTGGTCAATTTTGACCAAAGTGTCTATATCGCTAAGACAGCCTATCCCTTCCTATCTTTACAAAAGTGATAAAATTTGAACCACGCCAACTGCCGGTAAGTTTGAGATAATACCATCGGCTGAAATATTCTAGTACGAGGAGGTTTGATCCCAACACAGCTGCACGAGTAAATATACTACTGTTGCGTCATCGAGATCATGTGATTCTCACGCTCTCTCCTTTCTTGAATTATCCTGTACTTTGGCGAAT